TATTTCACAGTAATTTTCATGTTATTAATATTATTATATTTTGTACTGAGAATAAACTCATCTATAGTATTGTTTGCACTGTTTATAAGGTATGTATCAATATTAATAATTGTTGTTCTTTTGCATTTTCTACATTGAGAATAATCGGGAATTGCCAATATGATGTTTGTTGTTAAACAAAATCTACATCCATTGTAAGTTATTTGGCAATATTCACACCATTTGTGGCAATCCGATAATTCCAGTTTTTTATAACAATTTTTACAACGAGAATCATGATCCCACCACGGTGAATAAAGAATTGGAATAAGGTTTTTAGTTAAAGTCGATTCTATCCACCCAGAAGAAACTTTAAAACAATCTGAACATATATGAGCGTCAACTTCATAATTATTATTGAACGTTTTCTTCGGCTCCTGATGAACTAACTTCCCACATAATTTACAATCCTTATTATTTTCAAATACTTTTAATATACGACTACCATACAATGTATGCTTTTTAAACTGGAGTACTTGTTTGAAATAAAAAATATCGGAGCAAGTTTCACACCATTCTTGAATGTCTTGCGTGCAAAAATCCGCATTCCTAGCTTCATGTTTATTACAAGCATTATCATTTGTAACTATAAGTACATCCAAATACGTATTATTATCAGTTATGCAACTAATATACTTGGATAAGCAATTTTTACAATAATATTGGTAAAATATAACTGTCATTGAGTATTCAATTCCACAATGACATTTATCACCAATTACGTATTTAAAAGGAATAAACGTAATTGGTATAGGACTGGATTTTAATTTTGGAGTTGGATCAAAATCATCATCATTATTTGTAAGAGTAAGTTCCATATTTCTTAAAATTGATAAAAAAGATGACTGCAACATTTTATTTTATTTAATGTTACACGATACATTTCCAACAAGAAACTTATCGTTATACATGCATCAAATGTTCAATTGAATTCTATTTAAATTTTGATCTACAAGTATGACTTGCACATTTTATGCGATGTCCGACTTTTTCCCGAAGACCGTTTTCCCGAATGGACGTTTTCCCGAAACGTCCATTCGGGAAAACGGCCTTCGGGATAACGTACTGTAACCCAAACGCTACACGATATTTATTAAAATTTACAGTATATGGTTTTCGTACATTAATAAGCTCTAAAACAACTTAATTTGTAAGTTAATTGAGCTATTCGAAAATTTCAAGTTATATCTGGAAAGAAGTATAACTCTTACAATATATTTATTGACATCTTATAACAAGTAACAACTTTCCGTACAGTTTCTTTTCAGTTCTCATTTACTTAAAGTGTTTTTTTTTTTTTTTTAAGGTTAGGACAAGTTTAGAATATCATTTGTTTGAAAGTTGCAGGAACATTGTAAATGGAAATATCCATTAAGTTGCTTTGAAAAAAATAAAATTTTATTATTAAACAATTTAAATTTATAATAAATTTTTCATTAAGGTCAAGATATTCAAAATTAATTTTGCCGACTATAAAAAAAACATTTATTATAAATATAGTTCATTATTTAAAAATAAATTTTCACAAGAGCATTACAAATTTTATATACCCAATTGTTCATCCTCCCGTTGTTTGTTTACATACCCCCTTGTAAACAGTTTCTCAAAATAACCACTCATATGATATAAATGAGAAATACTGTATATAAATTCAAAATTCATATTCAAATGAGCTTAAAATAAACATATAGAAAGTTTTTTTGATTACTTTATTTGAATGTCATTGTGAAAATGAATACGCGATTGGAAAAGATCACCTTAAGAGAAACCTAAACAAATCAAGTCAAGATAAAATGTTCGATCACTGCGGCCTAAAGTGACGAAAGCAACCAATTCAAGGAACCTTTTTTATTAATTTCCGGAAATGAACTGCAGAGGAAATAAAACGATCGATGTTTTAATCTATTAGATTCCTAATCTAAATTTGGGTTGGAATATATATTGAACCTTCATTCGTATACAAAGCTTATACATCTAATATGTAATGTTATAAGATTGTCGGAAGTGTCTAAACCTTAATTAGCAACTAAACTAGCCAAAAATTAAATTTGTTGGTTTTATGAATTTAGTTTCTCTACCTAATACCTGAAAAACATAAATCCAGTTTCTAACCTCCAACAAAAGTACGTATGCGCCTCTTTAAACGAAGCCTTTTCACTGAATGTTTATTGACTGACAACTTTTGGCAACTTTTTGGCCGGCAACCAATTTAGCCGACACACCCATTTTCCGATATCCTTTTCACTGAATGAACGTTTTATCGACACCACCAATAACTACTTCTCTTTACTGTCATAAAGAAAAACAAGCAACTGAATTACTAATAGAAAATATTGTTTATGGAGCACAATGGTTATCTCATCGAAATCATTACATTGGCCGAGAAAATCGCATTTATAAAATAATTGGGTGGATCGAAGTTTAATTGAGGGATTGCACATAACATTTAATTGTTACTTAAATGGCAAAGTAGCCGTGATTAATTTATAATTAAAGTGTATTTAATTTTTGTATTAAAAGTTTTTTTTTTGCATATATACCATCCTAATCTTCAAAATATAGGTATAATGGTGACGTTAGTGAGATCAAAAGTATGTTAGTGAATTGGTGGTGTCGATTAAAGAATGTCGACTAAAGGTACCGTAAGTTTGTTCAACGAGAATTTAAACAAAAGTATTAGAACTGGCCAGGTTACTAATTGAAAAAATTGGAATTCCATTCATTAGAGGTTCTCACAAAATTCAAGGATAAACAATCGTCATAATAAAATGTGGGGCGATATCGCGCGACTAATCTTAATAGAAATAAAAGAAAGTAAATGGCACCCTTTGGTTGCCAGAATATAAAAATGAGTTGCGAAAATTAAAATTACAGCCTTCTTTTTACCATCGCAAAATGTTCAACTTAAAAAAATTTTCATATAAATTTCACTTCTGCGCACCTGCGAAAAATAATTACCTATATTATTTTATTGTAAGTATAATAGAAAACATATAAAGTTTAATCTCAAAAATAAAAAAGATTCTGGATCATTTGTTATTGGTCTCATCCCTTTTTTTAGTTAAATTTTTGTACGTTTGTTAAATCAGCATTTTATATTCGACAGACAGGCAAAAGAATTTGTAACAAAGATAAATTTATTTAAGATAAAATTTCAGGCAATTTGAACGTTTCTGTCAAATATAAACCGTCAAAAAAATTCTTTAAATACAAAGAAAATCCAACTTAATTTTTTGACTAAACATCTAAACTTTCAAAGAGTTTTGATTTAAAATATTGCAGATAAAAGTTGTAGATGTAAGGATGGAATAAAAATTATCCCGATAGAAAAGTTCGAAATTCAGCAAATGAAGATGTTACAAATTTTATACATCGCGATTGCCGTGAAAAAATATTGACATGAATATGTAAAGAATAGTATGAATTTATGAAAAAAAAAAAAAAAAAAAAAAGGTAAATTAAAAAAAATATTGGGAGCAATGCATTTTGCCACTTCGTGGCCGATGATCACCTGTGAAGTTACTATAATTATCAGTAGCGTCGATTTGAAATTGTATAACTAGGGTGTAAATTCAACGATCGCTATTAAAACATTTCTTTATAATATAATAATAACGGGAAAAAATAAAAACTGTTAAGTGGTTACGGCCCGAAATGATCGATCCCGAAGAGTAAAAAAAAAATGACAAATACGAAAATGATAATAAAAAAAAATCATACCTTCCTTGCTTCCAACCCGAAAATGGAAGTTAAGGAACTGCAGACTTAAAAAAAAAAATTAGAAAAAGTAATTTTAAATAAAGAAATCGCAGGTATCCAAAAAAAAAAAAAAAAAAAATAATTATCACGCATTGATGATCCACTTGGAAAAATCGAAAGAAAAAAAAAACTCACCTATCATTGGAATCATCTACCGATACCCTAAAGCTGCGCATCCAATCCCAATAAGTTTCAATAGTTTGTAAAAAAGGATACAATACTACAAGCATACAATCGTTCTTATATGATTAATTTTGTGGTTGGCTCTGAGATATTAACTGTTTCCGTAGATATCACCATCACAATGAAAGCATTTACCTCTTGAAAGTTAATTGAATTTTTAATATTGTGTAAGAAATTATTGCAAATCGCAATCTCTAAACTTGTAAAACAAAGAAAATAAGCATCCAGTGTTGAAGGAAGCACGCCACAATCCAACTAATAACCAACCAATTAACAATCAAAACCTTTAACGTCCTAAGATAATATCGCATACATGAAAATTTTCAATTGGCCAAACGTTCCCAAACCAAGATGACACTTGAAAAAATGATGTACTGTAGCTTACAATTATCATTACGTATGACGTATACGACGATGAAAAGTTTATTACTACCACAAGCATATGAAGGAGTTTTTTTTTTTAAAAAAAAAATATATATTAAGGGGCGAAAATATACTGCCTTAAGCCATGTAATAAATTTGAACACAAAATTTTAAGCAACAAAAAAAACATACAGATCAGGTGAACAAATATGGGAGGTTTGCTATTAAAATCGAGTTACGAACATAGTAAATCATATGATCCGTAACGTGATTTTAATAATATACAAGTAATTATTTTGAAGCATATGAGATTTGTTTGTGGCACAAAAATTCTGTGTAGAACAAATTCGGGGGCAGGGGAATGATGATCTACATAAGTCCCTACCATTCCTGATAGTAAACGCGATTTAGATCACACGAAATTTAGTATTTATTGTCCTATATATATTGGGTTGTAATATAAATAGTTTTTTGTTCCTCTCTTTTTTTTTTTTTATTTTATTTTATTTCATTTTTTTTTTTTTTTGTCAAACGATGAAAATGATTTAAATCTTTTTTTTTCCATTTTTTTTTAATTTATATTTCTTTTTTTTTGTTACACTTTATTAAAAAAAAAAAAAAAAACAGAAAATAAAACATTATTTAAATTAATTATGATGAACCCACTACAAAAATCATCTGCATTCTTAATAATATCAATCCTTCTCATTATAACATCATCCCCTCTGAGAGTAATTTCACAAAAAACTTTAACAGAAACGGAAGTGGTAGTAACAACGATACAAGCTCCAGATGTGACGATCGCAGTACCTCCACCGGATGCTAATCCAACTGAAACGGTAATCATCGGTCAACCCAAAGAACCTGCTAAAGCACCGGGACCTGCTCCCGCTGAAGAACCAAAAGCTCCCGTACCCAATGAGCAACCCAAAGAACAACCCAAAGAACCACAGGAACCTAAAGTCACTCCTCCTCCACAATCTAAAAGGTATTCATTTATTTTTTTTTTTTTCTCTGTTCAAAGAATTAAAAGTAACAAATAATTCCACGTTTAATAAATAGTCCTCCTGAGAAACAATCTGATTCAACAAATTCATCTAAAAGCGGTGTTGTTGTGTTAACCGGTAGCGCGCCCACACCTACCAACCTCGGCAATGTTAATATTGTAGAATGGAATTTAATAGGTGTTAATATCATTATTGGTGGATTAATCACGTTCTTTATGAACGCTTGGGTTTTATAATAAAGGGGGAATTGGAGAAGAACAATTAATACGAGCGAAAATGTAATTAATTAAAAAAAAACTGGAATTAATAACTTCAATAGATTATTTTTATTATTATTTTATGTAAAGAATGTAGTATAATGTAATGCACTTTTTTATTTTTCATTTCTAAAATTTTTTTTTTTTTTTTATATACCGTAATCATTATTCATAAAATAGATTTCTTACTTTCAATGGTCAAATTAAACAGAACAAAAGAAAATTCCATTTTCTTTGTTTACATTATGTACATTATGTAGTAACCAAAGTTTCAGAATTTTAGGTTTCAAACTATGCGCTTGTACCTGTTACAAAAATAAACTAATTCAAGCTGTTTTACTGCGCCATACCTTTCTGCGAATAAAAAAAGTTTTCCAAAGTTAACCTGATTAAAAACTAAAGGAATATTTGACGTTTCAAATTCAATTAACAAGATAACATGTGATATAGGAAGTACAACTGATGAACTGTTTGATGGGACGATTGAATTTTGATAACAAAATTTTTTATTCATTGAAATATAATTTACATTGTGAAAAATTATAAAAAATAAGATTCCTACTACTTCTCTTATGTATCATTACTACTATTTACCTCCTTTTATTAGGTTATTAATATGAAGAAAGACTAATTATTACCTGCCTTACTATAAATAATAAGAAAAAAAGTCGTTCTTTTTTTTTTTTTTTTAAAAAAAAAAAAAAAAAAAAAATTAATTAATCGTTGTAAACAGAATTAAATGAAACGTTAACGAAAAGTTTTAAGGAAGGATTTTTTTTTTACTAAATTTCTTCGAATTCTTCCACAACAGTAACATCATCATCGAAATATTTTCTCGCTTTTTGCAAAACAGAAAAATATCTAGCAGGTAAATGATCTCTAAAGAAAGTAGGTAGCAACTTTTCAATAAAGATCAAAGGACTACCCGTCAATTGTTTATATTCCTCTCGATCGTGAAAAACGTCTTTTCTTAGCGTATACTTTTTTCCTTTTTCGTGTCCAAAGTTATTCTTGTTTTCGGATGCAAGATCAATAATAACTGGTGTTTTACCCGAAGAAAACAAATTTTTCGTAGGAGTAGGTTTCGCTCCATTTTGGAAAAATTGAATTCCTTCTCCAACATGTGCGTAATTCAAAATGCTATTTCTATTAACCAAACGTCTGATCGTTGGATCATTCCAACCAGGTGGCATTCTAGTAATAATATCTTTATCATCAATAATTCTCCAAAGGGTGCTTTGCCTATCATATGGAGAATTGGCATATGAAGCAAATTCTGCTGCAAAATCCGCATCTCCAACACTTGGACTACCAAACATGTACCCGTCTCTTAAAATGCAATTTGGACCAAGGTCGTTTGTCGATTTTAGAAGGCGAGCATAGAACAAACTGGCAAGTGCCGCCCCTAATAGGAAACGAAATTCAAATCAGTAATTAATTCTATTAAAGTTTTTTTTTTTTTTTTACATGATAGCAAGGTGAAACTACATTTGATAAGAGATGGATCATAGGATTAGTAGTATTATGAAAAAAAAATCTTTACCTAATGAATGACCAGTTATCCAAACATTGATCGGTTGTTTGCTAGGACGAACAGCTTTGATGTCAGCAGCTTTCGCTCTGATGGCTCTGATCATAGTTATGTAGGGAGAAGCTCGACTTGCTCTTGCGGCGGCTCCTTCTTGAGGAAATAAAGAAGTATAAAATCCTTCATGGACTTCCCCAAATACAAAACTCCTTGCATCAACTCGCTGAAACATTAAATCAATAACAAAATCTTCAAAATTACTTGGATTGGTTCCTTTAAATACAATTACGATAAAATTATGTTCTTCACTCCAAAACATTCCTGAATAAGGACCTCCTAATGAATTTAACTCTGATAATGAAATAAATTTCATTCCCCATTTTCTTGCCTGCTCATGTATACGGGCTTCACTTTTTTTTAATAGACTTGTAACGGAATTAATAAGTCGCTCTTCTTCTGATGAATTACTTATTATTCCCCCTTTTGAGAGATCATGCAAAGCCTCGTGAGCTTTTCTAACCAACTCGTTGTTACGCTCATAAATGATAGAAGACATAAATAATAAAAGTTCGGCCAAATCGAGATTGAATCCACGATGTTCCATCGCACCATCAAATATCGTATCATCCAATTCTTGTTCGGGCAATGGTTGTGGCAAAGGAGCATCCAACGATTTAATTCCATCTTTTACGATTTCATCAACTTCTGATGTAAATATCCTCGGGTCCCCTAGATAAATAGATTTAGATATTATTACATTCCTATTTTTAAAGCAAAAAAAAAAAAAAAATTACCTACACCAGTTGACAGGAGATAAACCCTCTCCCCATTTATCTCCAATCCTTTGAATCACGGCACCCAACCCAAACTTAAATCCAATATGCAAAGCAAATTCCAGAGAAATAAGCGAAATGATTAACGTAGGAAACAACGTAATCAACAAAATGAAATTAAACGGGCTAAATATCGGCATTGTCCAATCAAAAATCAAAGTAAATAGAATATTCTTCAAAGCTCGATTCATATATACAACGTAGGTAAGTGATGGTATCAAAACTAATACTTGAGCTTTGTTAATGGGTGTGGTTTGTAAATCCTCTACATGATGTTGATCATCCTTATGAAAACTTTTAAGCATTTCGTTATCATCTTTCATGTTGCGAATTCTTGGTTCAAGAGGTACACTACTCTGTTCTACTGAAGGTGGCATGATTTATACTTATTATAAGAATGGTATAAATTAAAAAAGGTCGTAATATGGTTGTAATTTTGAAAAAATGGATAGTGGGGAGGTAATAAAATGACGCTCCGTATTTATACATTTTTCTCATTACTATCATTCTTTAAATTAGGAATATGAAATCCGTTTTGTGGAATTCTAGAACGTTACAATTCTATTTTGGTGTTCATCAACACGTTGCACATCACATGTCGATTCTACTTAATCCCGGTTGGAATTAGGAAAAAGTTTTTAAATTCTTATGAAAATTATGTCATTACAAGGAATAATAACAATCATTTCTAGAATTGTAAATGATTGGATGTTTTAAGGAAGAAAATGCCCAATTTGATAATGCTAATAATGCTATTTTGCATTCATTTTGATCTTAAAAGGTTATCAATATCGCTGCCAAAATAATTTGTTTATTCAGATTATATTTGACAAATTCCCCTAACTAATTGTATACAACTAGATAACATAGTACTTTAAACGAATTCCTACTTGAACAACAAAAGAATTTTTAGTTTTTGTTCGTTGTCCAGAAAAATTAATCTATAAGTTAATTTTTATTAATTAATTAATTAATTAATTAGCCAAAGCTTTTTTAATTTTGATTTGCTCGTTATAACATGTTTATAATTCTAAAATGGATTAATTGTGTTTGAAAGTTCATTTAAAATTGAGTATTAAATATAAATATAACTTTATTAGGAAAAACTCTAAATCATAAAAAGTTAACCTGGGAAATTACAATTGAAATGCACAATATATCTTTTAAACCCCCTTCTTTTTTACAAGGGAAACCGAATATTTTTTGTTAAAAAATTCCTCATTTTAGCGAATATAATGTGTTTCTTTCAAAGTTTTATCTTAAGAAGTTTCTTTATGCCATGCTGTCAAACGTATCGGACGTTGTAAAAGAACAGGATCGATATTTAAACAATTAAACATTACATTAAATGATCGACATGGAAAATCATATGATCCGCAGTAAATCAAAATTAAATAAATTAAAAAAATTAAAGAGGTAGTCTAAAGAAATATTTACAGTATATACATATGAAATAAATGATATTTGCTCTATAAAAAATAACAAAAAAAAAAAATCAATTATTCAAAAGATGATTCATTAAACAAGAAATCTAATAAGGGATCATTCGTGATTGTCTTTTTGAATTTGAAACATTTTCGCACTCAATAAAATTTGATATGGCATCTATATATAAATCCTTATATATATCTATAGACATTGTGTTACAATTTTCTTTTGCTAGTGAACTATATTCTTTCTGTTTATTATTATTATCAAAAGTTTTATTAAGAGAAATTGATTTAAGGGTAGAAAAAACTTCTCGCATATCAGGACGAAGTATTGGTTCATCTCCCCAACATCCTAGCAAAGTAAGTATAATTAATATTAATAAAAAAAATAATAATAATAATTATATTAATTAATGTCTTACTTGTATATAAGTTGCTATATCCAATAGGAGTACCATCAATTATTTTTTCTCTTTCACCTCCTTGTATAGCTAATATTAGAGCTATATCATAATCAACGCCTTCGGGGTAAAAAGGTCGACATCCACTTGAAATTTGCCACATAAGGACGCCAATACTATATACATCAGATTTTTTATCTAATTTGTAATTTTTTCTTGGATTATTAATGGTATGTTGATTATTAAAAACTTTTGGATCTGTATAAGGTATTACACCAAAGATTCTTGATGTACTACTTGATGCCTCATCAATTTTTTTTGATAATCCGAAATCTGCTAGCTTAACTTTTTTCTGGTGTATAAGTATGTTACCTGCATGCTTCAATCACATTAACGAATAATAAGTCAAAATTTGAATTTAAATTTCATAACATTGTAATTAAATTGATAGTTTACCAGATCACGATGAATAATATCAAAATCATGTAAAAATGATACAGCACTTGCCAGTTGCAACGCTAAGCCAAACTTATCATTCCATTGAAGTTCATTGAAGTGCTGATTTAAATAAGTTTTTAACGTACCGCTATCAGCATATTCCAAAACTAACGAATATTTTCCTCTAGCATCTGAATAAATAATAATAATATAATAATAAATTAGTTAAGTTTTCAAAAGTTATCAAATTCATTTCTTAATACCTACCAGTTGCTACTTTTGTGATTCCGCAGAAACTTATAATGTTTTCATGAAAACCAACCTTCCGATGTAATTTTAACTGTTAAATAATATATAATGCGTTAATATAATTCAATTAAAAGTAATAAATAAAATGATATATATTAGATACCTCATTGATAATTTCTTTAAGAGTCATTTTATAGTTATTAAAGGACTTCAAGGCATAAAAGGTATCATCGCTTTTCCAAGAAATACGATTTATAGTTCCAAATGAACCAGTTGAGATTTGTTGTATATTCTTAAAGTCTGAATAATTGTAGTAATTCATATCATCTTCAGAGATAGAATTTTCTAACCATTTGATGTAATAATTTGTATTTTTGGGTTGGGTAAAATTTGACTTTATTTTTCTTAAAAAAGTCATTTTCTTGGATGGATAATATTTTTAAAAAATATAGTAGTAGTTAAGAAGATGATATGGATGATGCGGAGGAAGTGAGGTTCAAACCGAAAGGATTTTACTGCGTTTTTATAGGAAATTTACCATGTGATGAATAATTACTACACGTGACAAATAAATTAATTAATGTCCATGTGATAAATAATCTTTCTATTTTGTGATACGATTTATGTGATACGGTTAAATAAACGATAAAGAACTTATATTAACAACAATTCGAAAGGATATAGTTTAAATTTTGATACCATTTGATTTCTGTTAAAACTAAGCATGATTTTTTAATCCGGGTGATTACTGTAAATGCATTAATATGATATTTGCTAAATTTCACCGGTGGAGCTTTATAATTAGTTATCACGTGACTAAAATTTTCTTCGTACGTCTCAAGTATTCTGAACTTTTTGATGTACAAAATCCTAACATTTATTACCGGAGTCAATCAACAAAGTTTCAATATTTGGTATAAATAATTCAATTTTAAATAATACAAAATTTCATTATAATTTCATTTGATTCAAAATTTAGTCTTATCCAAGCCTTGATTTAAGTCTAAATCTGAAAATTATTTTCAAAATGAAAAGAGCTAAAAAATAAAAAATCAACACAAATACTTTATATTATTTATTTATTTTATAAAATTTATTAAAATTTTCATAAATTATTATTATTATCATTCATTTTAAATTAAATAAATAAAATAAAAAAAAATAAAAGCTAAAGAATGCTATCTATTATTCTATATGGGTTGATTGCTAGGAAAATCAGGTTCCGGAAATTTTTTAACAAAATTGAGATTTTTATTGCATTTTAGTTTTTGATATTATTATATTAAAATGTATTAAGTTCTTAATTTAAGTCAAAAATTTCTTAGAATCTGATTTTCCTAGAAACCCTCCCATATAATAAAAATAAATTTTATTTAATAAAATAATAATGAATTATATAAATAAAAAAGAATAAAAGAACTTATTATTATCCTTTTTTTTTATGAAAATAAATAAACAAACAAAAATTTATATAAACTATACAATAAAATCAAAAATAAACAAATTAATTATAAAAAAAATTACAATACTATGGATTTTCAATTTCGTCATATATTTATATTTGATAATAAATATAAAATACTAATTGATTTAATAACAAATTAAATTACTATTAATAATCCTAACTTAAATCATTCTCAAAATTATTAAAATTTAAACCTAAACTCTCAAAATAATTTACAATTAATATAATAAAGACCTTCTAATAAATTATTTAGATTATATAATAAATTTTAAAATAATATCTATCTCAATGGTCTCAAATTGTCTATATATGCTGTGAAAAACTTTTATATTCTAAAAATGCAAATTAGATTTTTAATGATCCTTTAATCACATATCCTTTACAATAAAATATACCAAATATTATTTTAACTTTTCATCCAAATAGTATTCATACTTTTGAATTATGAGATCTTACATGTAACTCTTGCAAAAAACTATTAATATGATACTCTTTTTCTTATTTATTACAAATACAGTGGCTACCAAAAGAAACGCAAGTGTGATTGGTTATCTTTGAATAGCTATAACTCATCAATCATAAATGTTAGAAACATGATCTTGTACTTATTTTAAAGCCCAAATCTTGAAGGATATCCTAGCGAAATCTAGTATCAAGTTAATAATTCTGATTTTGTGTAACTTAGTGATCTACATCAAAATTTATTACATAGTAAAGTTTGGGTATAAAAATTTTTTTAAGCATACTAACTACCACAAAAACTGACACTGGAATCCGATTCTCACAAAATTTAGCTTATTGGAATCACTGCACTGAGAAGAATCAGAATCTAGTATCAGTTTTTTGGTAACTAGTATGCTTAAAAAAATTTCTATACCCAAACTTTACTATGTAATAAATTTTGATGTAGATCGCTAAGTTATACGAAATCAGAATTATTAACTTGATACTAGATTTCACTAGGATATCTTTCAAGATTTGGGTTTTAAAACAAGTATAAGATTATATTTTTAGCATTTGTAGTTGATGAGTTATAGCTGTTTAAAGGTAACTAATCACACTTGCGTTTCTTTTGGTAACCACTGTATCTGAAGAAATAACATTATTTTCTTTTTATAAATGAAAATATCTTTCACTTATTTATCTTATTATTCTTTAAGAAGAACTCTAAATAGTAATCCATATTCAGAATATAGGAGTCTCACAAGTATAATGAATTATTCTCATAATATAAGAGTACATGCATTATATAATGAAATTATAGATGCTTTTTTAAAACCAGAAAATAATGATAAAGATAATGATAATAATACAATTTAAATTTTAGTTTATGATAAAACTTTAAGATATGCATCTTTTTGGTTATCATAAAACAACCTGTATCTTCAACTGTTTGTTTATATCTTATCATCACAACTATTGATCATCAAAATAGAAATAATCCATTTCTAAGAACTAGACATATTCAACCTGATACTCAAGCATCTCCAGTTAATACTTATAAAATAATAGTTCTAAGCTATGATTTTCTGATAAAATTCATAATGAAGACTTTCATTATAGTAGATTAATGGCAAGTTTTATTCATGAAAATAAACATTTATAAATACCAATTTCTATTCATAATCCTAATTTAAAACCACTATAATTTTCAGATTTATTTATAGATAAAAAGGTTATTTTCATGATATCTTAGAATAATAAAAATAAAGACAAAATAATGAAACATATTATGAAACATATGAAAAATATATTAAATAACGATTGATGAATTTTGATCTAAGGTGAAGATTCTATTACCATTGGCCATCTTAGTTTTATCTTTAAATAGAAAAATTATGACATCATCAAAATACACAAAAAATATTATGAAAAAACAACTTTAAACTAAGAATAATCAAATTCTTTTGTTAACTAGATATTTATTTCATCCTAATGCTTATACTTCTTATAATATAATTAATGAGAATATGACAACACCTATTCCTACATTTATATATACTAGAAACTCCTATTTTTATTAAAACAACTTCATCTGAATGCAATGATTAAAAAAATAGGATTGCCAACATTATTTATAATCTTAAGCATAGCTGAAAGTTAATAGATTCACTTTTGTAATATACTTTTTATAGTAAAATAGTAATACTTTATCTACAAATAGACCTTTTATTATGCTAATTATTTTGTTCACAAAATTTAAATCTTTGAAAATGAACTTTATAAAAAACTAGAATTGATAGACTTTGAAAAGCTAATAGACTTCTTTAATCAAATTGAATTTTAAAACAAAAGTGCTACTTATACGTATAATTACTATTGAACTACTAATAGTATTAAAGAAATGATTAATAATAATATTATATGTTGATACTATAATAAGTCAATCTTACTGTATCACAAATGATCAATATTATTAACATTATTAACATTTTTAACTTAGTTAACATTTTTATTTTATTATTTTATTCTTATATTTTATTATTATTATTTATTATATTAGTATCATTATTAAATTATAATTTATCTTTTATATTTATTTTATCATTATAAATAGTTTAACATTAAATAGTAATTTCTTATAATTATATTTTTGTATAAATAGGATAGAAATTTGTCCTTGCAAAAGGGCAAAGATAACAGTATAAACTCAATAGTTCAAGTTCAAGACTTAGAATTTAAGGTTAAGGATTGCTAAGAATACAAACCTCTATAATAAAGAAATCTCTTTCTAAAATTACACATATTAAAAATCCTTTAACGTGTCAATTGTATTTATCTTATTTATAAATTATTAAAGTTATTTTTACTCGTCTAAAGTATAAACTTAAGGTTAATTGTAATAGGATTTATTTTACAATAACTTAGTAGTTTCTCATACATTACTCCCTATTATTAAGTTATAGTTACCTTAAGTTTGATAGGTTAAGCATAAGGTTATCAACATTTAATTATATCAAA